AAAGGAAGCTGAGGGTGGATGATTTATATAACGGGAAGTTTCCGGAGAATCCTATATTCTTAAGGATAACCCGAACATGCGACTGAGGATAACGTACTCCTCGTTACACCCAATTTTGCAAAGAAAGCTGGGGGTGGATAATTCATGTAACGGGAAGTTCCCGGAAGAATGTTAAATGTAATATTCTTAGGGATAACCCCGGTCATTATGAACAAAGTGATAAACACTAAACTCCTACTATGACTTCCGAATACTCTTTTGCTGAGATGAGATTCGATCACCTCTTTAGATCAATCTTCCCTCGCACAATTCCCATCTTGGTCAAACCTTTAAACAGTTAGGACCAAAGCCAGAATCCCCTCTTGATTCCTTCAATGAACAAGAGGTCTACCTTCGATTTGCGCAATCAAACCTATAAAAGTTAGGATTGCCTCCAACCTTATTCAAATTCTCTGAATAGAAATCCCACTTCAAATTTCCTTTGTACCAGGAGATAGAATATAAAATTCTTCCTCTCCGATTCTGGGTTCATCTCTACTAACAAACAAGAGACCAGGAGATAGAATATAAAATTCTTCCTCTCCATCATCGGGTTCATCTCTACCAACAAACAAGAGACCAGGAGATAGAATATAAAATTCTTCCTCTCCATCATCGGGTTCATCTCTACCAACAAACAAGAGACCAGGAGATAGAATATAAAATTCTTCCTTTCCGATTCTGGGTTCATCTCTACCAACAAAAAAAAGAGACCAGGAGATAGAATATAAAATTCTTCCTCTCCGATTTCGGGTTCATCTCTATCAACAAAAAAGAGACCAGAATACTCCAATAGGTACACGAGTCTAAACTGTTTCCCTATCATCAACAGGAAGTTTCTGGAGAATATTACTCAGAATGTTCTTAAGAATAACCTGATTGCCTCCCAACGGGTATATGAGGTTAAACTATTTCCCGAATACTCCAATAGGTACACGAGTCTAAACTGTTTCCCTACCATCAATAGGAAGGTTCTGAAGAATATCACTCAAAATATTCTTAAGAATAACCTGACTACCTCCCAACGGGTATACGAGGTTAAACTATTTCCCAAGAACTCTAAAAAAAATACATGAGTATAAACTGTGTTCCTATGAAGACTGATACACCATGCGGGACAGAGTTGACTGTCTCGCACGCAAGACAATTTTCAAACATTCAGAAACCGTTTCATAAACCACCGACATGTGACCACCAACTGTTCAAGAACGTGGGGAGTATCGTGGGCGAGAATCACGTTGATAACCACCAGAATAACGGAGTTTAAAACGTGGGAAGGCAGTTACAGCGAGAAACTGTCAGACAGTATTTACTGTCTCGCTGGGCGAGACAGCAAATTTACTGTCTCGCTGGGCGAGACAGCAAACACTGTCTCGACCAGCGAGACAGCAAACGCTGTCTCGCCCGTCGAGACAGCAAACGCTGTCTCGCGAGCACTGTTTATACAGGGGTTATAAATACCCCCGAGGTGATTTCTTTGAGAGGGGCGGATCAGAGAGCATCCACAGGCTGATTTCAGAGCAGAGAGGGCAAAGTACTCGAGCTTCTGTAACTCCTTGATATTCAGGCTTTGACTTGATTTCAAGAAGAACGACTATCTTACCTTGATAAGATATCGTTTCAAGTTCTCACTTCGATAAACGAAGTCAGAATCATAAACCCCTCACGATTCGATCAGAATCTGTGATTTGGTGGTCCACGGGCTAACGCACCCCCGGCACAGGCAAAGATCTCACGCAAGCAGTGATCCAAACAACGATCCTGCGTTTGTTTCCCAAGAGTTGTAATTTTCATTTTGTTGTGTAAAAGGAGTCTTATAAAAAGGCTATCTCTTTTTTGAATTTATTATAATCGACTGAAGATATAATGAATTCCATGACAAAGTCAACTTTTGACGCAAACAGTAATGTCAATAGATCTAAAGGAGACAGACAAAATCATCCATGATGTCGAGAACAAAAGTTGTTGCACTGACAAGGGGAAGCACAAACACAGTGTTGTGGCAAAATGCCCTCAGCGGCCCCAATATCTACAAAGAAATGAGAAGTCTCTACTATCAAGAAGTAGGCTTTGATACAATGCAAGAATAATTAGAGTCTGTCATGGTCTATTATTTGTAGTGCTTGAGATAAAGATGTGTTACCTTTCCTTAGGAATATGCTAAAACTTTTTGTAGCATATTGCTTTATTCCTTCCATATCCCTAATATATCTTAGTCATATACCTAATATATCCTTTCCTAATATGCTAATATATTTCTTAGCAAATATTTTTCAAAAAAGCGCTTATTTACCTTATTGGCAGTGATAGCATTTGTAAAAACACAAAAGCAGTTTTGCCTACTTTCCAGGCATTTAACTATGTTTCTGTGCTAGCATAAATTGCATAATTTGGGAGGATCTAACTAGTAGCTTCCAATTTAATTTATTAGCCTCTTAAGTGGCTGTATTATGTTTCGCTTGGACATGAATTGTATATATCAGGCTAAAGAGGGTGTGGGAGGCATGACATTTGTCATTCAGCTTAGTACCTGAACTGGTACAATGCAGCGAAAGCAGGTTAAATTTTTACTCATTCAATTGCAGGAGGTTTAACGATCATTTTAGGAGCAATTTTTATATGAAACCTGATCATAAGCTATTTTATTATGTACACATTTTGAATCTCAATTTCCAATTACTACCTTCTAATCTCTTTGCCTTTTCTCTCTTATCCCAGGCCCTAACCCACTTCATTCGAACCCTTCCTCCTCCCTCCAAAACAATTAACTAAGGTTTCATTTTAGTCCTCCGTGATTCTTTCTATCTCCCGCATTTTTTCTTTTTCCTTTTTAAAATTTCAGGAACGTCATTGGTTCTTTTGCATCTAAAGCCCCATTGAAGAATTGTTAGCCTTGTCCTGCTTCACTCTATCTTCCACTCACAACCTTGAGTTATATGCCGAATATCTATAAATAAAAGTTGTTATAGGCTACAAGTTAACCAAGTACTAATTTCTGTTGGGAAGCCGACGCGTGTCCACCGCATGCTTAATCCGATCATTCTAGAAACAGACGACTCGAGTTGTACCTACGACCTATTGTTCCAGCCGACAACTTGTGTAGCTGACTTGAAAAAAGCGATACTTGTCGGCCTACCCACTAGATCGATCCTATAAGTGCTCACACTTGGCCTATTGTTCCAGCCGACAACTTACATAGCCGACTAGAAATGCGGTGTTTGTCGGCCTTGAGCTGGACGGCTGAAGAGACGGTGTGTCCTCGAACCCCCTGCCAACAACCAACTACCATCACATTAACTGTCATGACAAAGTCATCATTGCTCTAGCCCCTATAGTCTTTATTAGTGTAGAAAATAACGCGTTCTGTAGCGTAAAATAGCGCATAGCGTAACGTAGCGCCACCCTCTAGCTATGTAGCATTGGAAAATAACGCAAAAATAAAATAACGTACCCTATTTTACCCATAGCGTACGTTTTGTAATGCGTCTTCATGACACTCCATAGCTTAGGTTAAATTATTAAAGGTCTGAGATTGATTTTTAAAAGAATTTTAATGACTGTGATTGAGTTTTTTCAAATTATTCAGACTTTGCACTGCAAAATATTAAAAAGAGATCAAAGAATTACTAATTACTTTTTTTTTCTAATTAACCAGATTTAGAAGTAATAAAAACTGGTACTTTTCTTTCAAAAATAAAAGTTGTAACTTCACTTGGATTACTATTAGATGTTTTTAGAACTTATTATCTATTAGAACTTATTGTGATAATGTGTGATGTATATTTTTTTTAACGACTATGCTTGTGGAATGATTGTTAAGGCATACATGGTTGATTTCGTTGTGAAATTGTGATGATATATTGATTTGTGATAGTATTTTTATGATGATATGTTCGAAAACTGTGATGATTATTCATATTATTTGATTTTGAATATTATGTATCAATAAAATATTTAAATAATAATAAATTATTTAACCTACGTTAAGAGTTACGTATTTTGTGTTTTACGTTAACTGGATGTGAGCGTTACGCTATACGTTATTGCTATTTTCAATATTGGTCTTTATGACTCATCGGATCCAGTTAGCTTCAAGCAAATGCTGTCTTCCCCACTATAAATTACTGGATGGCCCATCTTCGCCAGTGGCCGACACCTGTCATCTCTCTGCTGAGTCAGCTGCTTTCCTAGACTCGGCTCAAGTTACAAATCTGCTCCTCCGATCCACTATAAAAGAAAGCCATGCAGCTTAAGGTAACTCGTTTTTTGAGATGCAACTTTGGGGTCTTCTTCATCATCCCATAATTTTCCACTCAAATTCATATACTGACTTGATCATCGGAGGAACAATCGGAGAACCTAACTCTGGCCTCTTATGAGTTCTTCGTGTGTAGGAAAGTACAACCTGCTCCCGAACCAGCCATCTGAAGAATCTTAGGGACCCCAACCCAACACTAATCCTTAAATAAACTCCCTGTTTGATAACTGACATCAACAAAAGTGAACATAAATGAATCACATGTGCTTGTAGTGCTTGGATGAAGGTGGTGGGAAGTTCTTAAGAACAATATCTTTTCCATGCTCATACTGTAGACCTTTTAGATTGAGATTTTTTCTCGAGGCTTATTTCTGATAGCCTGTTCTTGTGTTACCAGTCATGACCACTAATCATCATTGTGATCGTTCATTTAGGCAAAGCTTTTCCCAGTCAAAATGGGGTCAGCTGTTGAGCATGACTTGAAGTTGTGGAAGCGCTTCTTGTAGCATTTTGCATAGAAAATTTGTTTTATAGTGATTTAACTGTCATTACGTGGCCGGTTGTTTTTCCATATGCTTTCTTTATATAAATTTGCTCTTCTGCTGCTTGAACGCAAAAGTAAATGGAAATGGAATATTCTGTTCTAACTCATCTTGTTAAGCATCATTTTGGTTTTTGTCTGAAATGCTTTTATCTTTTACAGCTACAGTGATCCCTTAGGGGATGTGACACATTTTCCAGGATTATCTGGTCACATCTCTTCACAACCTTCATCAACAGTGCAGCATCAGTGGTTGGGGGTGCCAGGTCAACTTTCAATGGCTGATATTGTGAAGATGGGTAGGGCTCAACGAAAACCTTCAAATACATCTGCAGTGGAAACTGAGCTGTGCAATTCCTTGTCACATAAAGCAGTTGCATCAAATTCCCAGGGCAATGTCATTACAGTTACTCCATATGAAGCTAATCAGGATAAACATTCTTCACAAGATAATGTTTTCCAGGTTTCAGAGGTTGGACACGAGCCGAGCACTTTAATCGGCCAGCATGAATCTCTTGAAGAATGGACCCTAGTGGATCACTCAGCTGATGAAGGTTCTGCAGTGCTTGTAGATGTATCTGCTGGTTCATCTGTCTACCATGAACCATCTGTATCATCTAGCTCACGCATTGATGAGGTTGACTCACATCTAAATCCTCATGTAGATGACATTCAAAAATCAGGACAGGTTAGTGGAAGAAACCTAACTACAGGATCCACAACTTCTGATGCACAATTGAGGGTTGATAGTTCTGATGAATCCTCATGCTCGGATGACGCATCATTTAGGAACGATAGTTCGTATCAGCAACAGGAAGGTATATTCTCATTTATGAATATTGATGCTTGTCTTATACATTATCCTTGGTGCTTTAATATTTTTTCAACAAACTGGCAATTAGACGTTAGTAAGCATGAGTTGGGGATTTATCTTTTTAAGAATTTACAATAGATGATTTCTTTTGAAGCATAAAACTTGGCTTACTTATAGTCAACTGAGACGTCACCTTAGAAACGTTTGGCATGGGATAATGTATTTTTTGAAAGTTTGATTATATGATGCTTACTTTCGACCCTGTCAAGGAAGAGAAGAAATTAAAGGAAGAAAAGTAAAAGTAAAAGAAAAAGGATTAGTTATCAGTACAACTCTGTATATGCTAATAGGTTTTCCTGCAGTGTGTTATTAAGGAATATGATCACTAACTTTCTTGTGGGATATTGTTTTCTTATCCATACATTAAATAATTGCAGACATCATTAGGGTGTATGCACATATATCACCTTTTCTTGAGAAATCTTGGCCTTAACTCGATAATAAAAAATGCTAATGTTCATAGCATGCAACATTTTGGAATCAATTTTTTTTCCTTTCCATTTTCCATAACTTGAGAAACAGTACGTAGGATGTATAAGAGAGTTGTATACGTTACTTGTTGTGTGCTTCATATAACAGAAAAGATAGATTTGTGTTGTTATGATAGGTCACCCCTAAACTTCATTTGGGCTCCTATATCCGTGTCTGACACATCCTGTGTTCATGTCCATGTCCAACACTCCTTGGACACTTCTTGAGTATATTCATACGTTTATTCAGACATATGTTCAATTATATAATACATATTTTAGTTTAAAATTTTAGTTTAAAATACTTGTTATAAGACTTCTTGGACACATATCTTATACTTCACCTCAAATTTCGGCAACTCATTGGACTAGGATCTGGTTCGTTTTAGGCTTTTAACCATGTTCATACGTATGGTTTTAAATGGTCGTTTGGGTATTTAACTCAAAAACAAGCAAATTTTCAATTTATAACATATTCAATAAAAGAAACATAAAAATGTTGTAGGGATTTTAGTTTTCATAACACGTGAATTAAAAAACAATTTCGATCTCATATAAATTATTAATCTCAATATGTATTAGCCGTGTCCTTGTATACCCGTGTCTGTGTCTGCACCCCCATCCGCACCCAGAAACATAGTGATCATGTAGAAGATGTCTTAGTTGGTAGTGGTTTTGCCTTAAGAATTAAGTAAATATCTTGGTGTGTAAATATTGTTAATAAGAAGTTCTTTTCATGTTGCAACTGTATGTGGTTTCAGTTGTTTTTATAGAATTGGTGCTGCTTCAATGCAGTGATTGTTTCCTCATGTATGTGGTTTTAGCAGTTTTGATGTTGGGTTGTTTTATGTAAGTTCAATGTCATAATGTTATTCACATAGCTTGCTCCTGAAAATCCTGGTGTCTATTTCTGTATGTGGTTGTATTTATTGTTTCTCTGATTTCAATTTTTTTTCCAGCTGAGTTTGTCCAGGACGAACTATCATCAGACTTGCAGCACTTGAACATACAAAAGAAAGAGCAGAGTGCAGCATCATCAGAAGAAAAGCCTGCAGTAGTAATTCCTGGGCACCTTCAGGTTACTAATGAAGACTTTTCACGTTTGAGCTTTGGTAGCTTCAGGTCAGGTGTTGGCTCTTCCCTTGCCGGAGAAGTTTTGCCCAAGCCTTTGAAAAGTAATTTTGGGGTTGACTCTATTACAGAAAATGCACAATCTGTTGGTTACCAAGATACAAGGTAATCTTTATTTCTTACCTAATCTCTTTGTTGATATGACTAATCTTTTAGAATATGTATGAGAAAAAGTTCTTCTAGCAGGGTTCAGGAATACTACAATACTGAACAGTTAAGGACTACAGCAGATGACAGGGTTTCCCTCATCAATGATGCCACAACTTTGAAGAATTATGATGTTTCAACCTCACAACCTGAGCATAGCAGAAATGACACAATTATTTCTGAACAACAACATCAGTACAACATTCCTTCTGTTTCTGGCTTTGCAGTTTCAGGTACCACCAAACCAGATTATGCAGCCAATTGCGATGTACAAGCAAACACACAAATGCAAAACCTTTCTCTGCCTACAAATTTGAAGGTAATATGTTATCTTGATTTTTCCTTACTTCTAATATCATGTGGGTAACCTTAGTATTTATTCACCTTCATCATGATTAGAGGGTGTTTTGTGGAGCTTATTTTTGGTCAAACTAGCTATTAAGCTAGATAATCCATGTCTACATGTTTGGCGACATCTCAAATAAGCTAGCTTTTAAGCCCCATTCAAAAAAAGTTGGGGGTTCCCCAACTTTTGAACAACTAGCTTATAAGCTCCTCTAGATTAGCTAGATTTAACCAAGCAAGCAACTTTTCTACCCTTGCAAGTTTTATTATTTTTTTATTATAAAAACTAAAAACCACCAAAAGCTAGCATAGCTTATAAGCTTCAAACAATAAGCTCTCCCAAACACCCTCTAATTCAGAACCTTCTAATTCTGGTCGGATATATGGTGCTTCCGTTTGTCATTCCTCATATGAGTTGAAGTCTTTCTGATACTGGTTAATTTATCTTGTTGGTAAACATTCAGTTCTGCAGAAAGTAGTATGTATCCTGAAAGTCTGGCTTAAATTTCCATAACTTAAAGTTCCTGACTGGATTTTGGATTAGGTTGAACCGTGAACTTGTTTAACATGCACAGACAAAATAAACCATATATCTTGGACTCTTTGGTGAGGTATAGAGGTCACGAACTAGATAGGAATCGGGGAAGGTAGTGAGGAATTTTGATTATGTTTTCTTGATATTATGCCTCTTTGCTCTCTTTTTCCTAGTTAACTATACTTGCCGTGAACAGTGGAAGCAAAAAATTATAGAGTATCTGAAAAACTTGATAAAGGAGAAGCTACATTGTAGGTTCCATGGTCTAGGGATAATGAGTTCAAATCACTTCATTGACAATTTTAAATACATCATTTGTCCCCATTCTGGCTTGATTTTATAAGAACTCAGCATCAAGCTACGTAGTTTTTCTTGTTGCCCCTGTATGTATCCATTCATTTCATCTTCAGGTAAAACATTTTTCAGAAGCATTCTTACTCAAGAAGTTTCTATGCTAGGACTGTGAAATACATTACCTAAAATAGATTGTCACAACACTTTACTGTGCTTATGGATGCTAGCTGACTTCTGTAATCTGATGCTTGTAGTTTTTCCTTGTAATTTGATCAGTGATATCTTACCTATCTGTTTGTGTTTTCATGTGCAGCAACCACATATTGACTCATCTCCGAGCAATTTATTGAGCGGGAATGCTCAATCTCTTCAAGGGCAAGATCTTCCCTTTTTGCACTCACTCACAGATCAGTCTATCTCAACACAATATAGGCCTTCGACGTCATCTTTCAGCGGGCCAACCTTTTCTTCGCCTGAGGTACTTTTCTAGCTTCTAGGCTTCAGTTTCCAGTTTTGCTATTTTTTCTTTGATGGGAAATAGATTGTGCGGTCTTTTGGTGGAATGGCTTAGCTATCATTCAGAATCTGGCTCCAGTTCTCAACAAAGTTACAATATTGTGCATTTTATGTTACTTGATACATCTTGGTTATATTATCTGTTTCATGGTATGACATCTGTTCATGTCCACCAGTTAGTAGCAAGCAGTGTACATGCGTACTGATATCTAACATTTCTACTTCAAGGGTTGGCATGATGTTTTGGTTAATCAGCACATCGATTCTTAGTTTAAAAAAATGGTGGTTTCGGCAGTTAAATTTCTATATTTTAGTTTTCTGTAATTCAAAGTTAGCACTAACTTGCTCTTATTGTTTATCTACGTTTTCTAAATAATGAATTTGTTCATGTAGGTTTTGATGCCGGGGCTTTTCTCCAACTTTCATTCTATTCCTCAAACCACTTCCAGTCACACAATCTCCAGTGGAGCTGCACTGCATCAACATCTTTACTCCCAACCAACTCTGCCTCTTGGGCCTCTGACTAACATGTACACCTATCCTGTCCTTCCTCAAAATATTGCTTACATGCCCTTTTCAGGAAATAGTCCCTTCCACCAATCTCCAGCTTCCCTTCAAAGTGCGGCCATGAAATATGGACTCCCACAGTTTAAATCTAGCATGTCTCTTCCTACTGGCTCAGGCTATGGAGGTTTTGGAAGTTCAACGAATATTTCCGGAGCTTTCTTACAGAACCCATCGAATATCGCTGCTGGCTCATCGATTGGTTATGAAGAAGCACTAAGATCACAATATAAGGAGAGCATCGCTCTTCATCAGGTATTACCATCAGTTTGCATTCATATTAATTTCGAGGATTTATATGAATGATAAGAGCTCCACTTAATTCAGTGTGCTTTTTCAGGGTGACAACTCCTCATTGTGGCATTCACGACCACTTTCAGCAGCAGTTCCACCGAGCAATTTCTACGGCCTCCAGGGGCCGAGCCAAAACAAGCAGCAACATTCTTCGACAGGGTCAGCAGCCTGCAAACATGGGAATGATGGGGTACCCAAGCTTGTATCATACTCAGCTGGGTGGGATCTCTCGAGAGCATCAGCAGCTCCAGAGCCAACAAGGGGATCTCAGTGGTTCTCAGGGCCACCAACCATCCCAGCAATCCCATCAGCTATGGCAGCACAATTACTGATCTAATGCCCATCTTTTTCAGGGCGTTTAGGTAGTAGCTGCCTCTTAGTTGGTTAGGTGTACATAACCGACTGATTTCTTTTCGTCGAGGCTAATGTATTCTAGAGTCTGAGATTGTGTTTTTAACTCGTTACTTACGTTCTTGCTTAATATCGTAAACCACTTGAATGCTTTAGAAGAGCTTTTCGTGCTATGCACGTGTTTGGCTTGCTAATATATGGTTTTCGATTCCTCTTATGACAATTTGCTTTTTGTTCGGTCCTAAATGAATCTCACTAAAAAATTGCCGGACAAATTTTTAAAAAACAAAATCAGCAAAATCGGCCTTATTAAGAAAAAATGAGCAAAATCAATCGTTTTCTGCTCATGTTGGTTGAAAACGATTGATTTTGTTGAAGGATAATTTTTAAAATACACGAGACTATTAGTCTTGTGTAACGAACCACTAGTTAAGCTGGTGAACTCGTCTATTTCGTACCCCTCCCTAGCGCTAATTCGTGGTCACCCATCCTTAGCTCTGAAAACCTGCTACCCCTCCACTTGACCTCAAATCCACCCACCTCCCCTCCCCCTTGACCTCAAATCCACCTACCTCTCGACCCCAGGCGACCACCGTGAGAACCCAGCCGCCCACATCTCGTCCCCAAGTGCTCGCCACTCGAACCCAGGCACCCACCTCATGACCCTAGCCGCCCATCTCGCGCCCCTAGCCACCAACCTCGCGACCCTAACCGCCTCCAACCACATCCACCAAGCTCTAATTATTCTCTCTTTTTTTTTGTGAATTTTGATGAATGGTATGGACTGATTAGGATTAGGGTTTAACTATAAATTTAATTTAGGGTTTAATTTTAAATGGGATATGAAATTTGTGGTGCAATTTGTTTTTTTCTATTTGTAAATTTGATGAAAGATATGGATGAATTAGGCTAGGGTAAAATTTTGATATGAATGATATGGTTTTTGATTTAGGGTTTAATTATAATTGGGATATGAAAATTTTTAGTTTTTTATTTTGTGAAATATGATGAATAATGTGATTTGGGGTTTAACTAGAATTTAGGGATTTAAATTTGATTTCAATTATAATAAACTCTTTGCATATAATGGAATGTTGATTTTTAGTTTCGATGGTGAACTTAATACTTATTATTTGCTTCTTCAATAGAAGACTCGGCATTGGAGTAAATAGTATGCCTATGTATGAGAGAGGTTCTAGGAAAATGTTTATGCTATCTAAGTCATGCAATTTTGATGGAATGATGAAGGAAATACACAGAGTTACTAAAATTAATAAAGAAGAATATGCAACTAAGGTATTCTTCAACTGTCCGATAAATAAGAATAGAACAATTGCCGTAGAGATCATCGATGATGAGGAGTTGAATGACATGAAACAGTTAGTTGAGAAGCAAGTATTAATCGGGTTGTTCATTGAGAAGTATCCGATTCTCGAATTTGCCCAAGTTTCGATACCTCAAGGAGAGTTCTCCCGCTTGCTTGACCTAGAGATTGAATCGAGTGGTTTTATGACATCTCCAAGTCTAGAGCCGTGTGTTAGACCCTAGAGGGGGGGGGGTGTGGAAAATATTGTTTCTGTAGGTTTGTAGACTTGAATATCAGTTTATACATGTTTTACATAAGTCTTTAAAAGCATTCAGCAAAAGTTTCAAAATCGTTGCGTCTTAATGTGCAAAACCATCGCAAAATTCAACGTAGCATCTATTTTCCATGTCTTTTGGAGCCTAGTTCTGTAAAATGATGACTATTTTTCATTTGGGTTAAGTACTTTCTTTGCCGAACCGAGTCGTATGTTAGCTATGTTTATTATTCAATTGTCTATTTCGTCAATCATCTTTCCCAACAGTTTTATATTTTTTTTCAGGAATTGTATGTTAGATATTTTAAGCAGTTTTAAAATCAGTTTTCTTCTCTTGAAAACCGTGTATTTTTTTCTCGGGATATGCTCAGTTTGATCGCTCTGATTCCGTTTACGGTCGATTTTCCGGTCCAATGACCATTGATCGTTTCACGTTATTTTTCCCACGGAGAGTTCGTCGGTCGTGCCGGAGTCCGCGATCGCCGAGAGCTCCAAATCGTTGTCGAAAGCGGCGACAGATATTTCCGGTCGACCGACGGCCTTAGTGCCAGAAAGTTTTCTTCGTGTTTTTGCTCTGCATCGGTCGACGACGGGATTTTCGTCCGACGCGACAATGTGAGCCCGTTGGACAACCTTCCAAACGGCTATATTCTGAACTGACTTCTGGCGCTTTTTGGTCATTTTGTTGGAGTTTTATGGGCTGAAGTTTTGAGGGGTATAAATACGGCCCCATTGCTGTTTTCTTTCAATCTAGTTAAGAGAGTTTTAAAAACAAGTTAAGAAACATTTTAAAATCAAGGGCTTAAGTTTTGTTAAAAGAAGTTTTAAAGAGTTTGTTTGAAGTTTAGTTTGTGAAGCAAATCTTCACAAAGAGCAAAGAGGAGATCATCCTTGGTGTTTGGGCATTCAACTCATCGCTCTCTCCTCACTCTTGATCTATAGAGAAGTTTTTCGCTAAAGCTGCAATTCTAGCTATTTAATTGTTTTTGATCTAATTTCCATAAGGCTAGATTTCTATATTGATTTAAAGTTGTTTTATTGATAGCTGCTTGGTTGCCACACACAACCTATTGAAGCTTATTGTATTTACAAAATTCATAGTATAAATTTAGGGTTGTGGGTTTGTGACATCTGAGAGTGAGCTTAATTGAGTTGCTGCACCATTGTTTAGAGAACAATCAATTGATTTATTATTGTGGCTTAATTGTGAGGATTCACTTGTAATACACTTGTACAACCGAGAGAAGTGTGTGGTGAGAGACGGGGTCGAATCCCAAGAGGAGTGGCGTCGGTTGACGTGCCTAGGGAGAGGTTGTAAGCGCGAGGCACTTGAGGAGGAGGACACGCGGGCTAGGACCAACACTTAGTGTGTGAGGTGTGATTCATATGTGATTGTATTGTGAGGTGTAAACGTTGTTCGGGTGAACGTAGAAAAACCGCCGGTTGTGATAGTGGAGATCTCCTCGAGGTGAGGAGCGGGGAGCGTAGGTCGTGGGGACCGAACCTCAGTAAACAATAATCGTTTTGTTGTGATTGGCATTGGCGTTCTATTCTTGTTTTCATATCTTATATCGCCTTTATGTATTGCTCATCATATTACCTATCACTTGTGTAGATTGTTTATTTTCTACCCTTGTGTTAGTTCATATAATCCTTGCTCATATATTTGTAATATCTCAATTGATAGGATATATTCATTTGTTCATATTGCTTATCCTAGCTTAGCGTATCTTGTTGTATTTTATACTTGCTAGGATAACTTATTAATTAGTTTTAATTAGCATTTAAATAACGGATTAGATAGCATAAGACGCCTAATCACCCCCCACCCCCCGCCCCG